TGAAGTAATTGTAAGGCTTGAATTTCATCCTTTTCAATACCATAAGTTCCTTTGTAAAGATAAAGACCTGTATAATATAAGGCCAAAGGGTTGTCTTCTTGTGCCAACTTTTGGAATTGGTAGAAAGCCTCTTCATATCTTTTTTCTTCATGGAGCGATATTGCTTGATTAATATCCGGTACTTTAATTTTCAGTCTACAAAGTTGTTTTCGTAGGTTGTCAATGCTTGGACGCTTTTTGTGATTTTGATGCCAGGCTCGCTTGACAATTCCTTCATATTGATCTGGTGTGTCGTCTGAAAATGGATTAGGCCGTTCTCCTTTCCTAACCTTTTCACTTACAGCACTGGGAGATTTTATATCATTAAATGGAAGTTTATGCGTTGAAATTTCCCATAGAAGAATAGCAAAACTAAATAATATCAAATCTTTGTTAGCTATTTTTCAAGGACAATTTTAACGTTCTCCAGAGGTGAAATATACAGAGTTGTTATTTCTAAAAAACGGATTTAATAATTTATTTTTGAAGTATACTGTGAGATATTCCACTCTAAAAACTAACTTCAGATTTTGAAGTAAAGTTTTTTATAAATCTTACGATATTCATAAAAAGCATGTATTTGTGAATTTCGCTCCAGTGATTTCTAAACAAACTTTTCAAGCACTGTATATCGTTAATTAATTTGTACTGTACCTGTATACTTCGCATTTATCAGTGTATGGTTGCTTTGGATATTCAAGTTTTTCTGGTGCAGTCCATCTGAAAATTACAAAAACTTTAATAATTTGAAATCTGAAATAATCATTTTTTTTTTTTATTTAAAAAAAAAAATGAATCACCTTATACTTTCGATCTGCATTTCTTTTGATTTATCGCTAATTCTTCTGCTCATTTCAAAATTGGTAAGCTTTGCGTCTAGGTTTTCATCGAGCAATACATTTTTGCTAGACAAAAAAAATTTATATTTAAATATAAATTAAGATTGACACAAAGAAAAAAAAATGAACAGGTTTATTTACCTTCTGACATCTCGATGATAGACATTAGCATTAATGCAAAAGGTGAGGCCTTTGGCAATTTGTTCCGCAATTTTGAATTTAGTCATCCATGGAATTGATTCATTTTTATCTAAATATTCTTGAAGGTTTCCATTTTGCATCCATTTAGTAACTATATAGAGATCTTTTTCATTCTTAATATAGATACCAAAACTATAAATAATAAACCAATTAATTATCAACGGAGTAAGCAAATTGAGGGTAAAGCATCATAAATACTTACAGTTTTTCAATCTCACCACAGTTGCTAAGCAAACTGATAATTTTTGCTTGTTTCTTAATACTCTCTAGTTCCGTTTTTAGGTTTATACCAGAATTTTTTTTCACTGCAACTGCCTCTCCAATATAAAACCGTTTTTGGATTTTGTTCGCAATTTCGTTATCGTTGTCATCATCATAATAATAATTACAATCTTCATCATCAACGTCATCATTTTTATTAATTTTCAATGGGTCAATTTGCAAATTAATGTCTTCATCTATCAAATCGTCTCCTTTCTGAATAAGCATGAGTTCAAATGCAGCAGCCATTTCTTTTCGAATTTCTTTAATTTGAATGTTGTTTTCAATTGTAGCGGTATGGATATCAATTAAGACAGCATTATAAAAATCTTGGGTGGCATCCCGCAGTTTTAGGAGCAATTTGTCGTGCACTTCTTTAATCTTTAATAAAAGTAAATATTTAAAATACTTTATTTCAGGAATTGAGATAATAGATAATATTCACGTACATGATTTGCGTTGACTATTTCCATGAGTCGTTTTTTCGCTTTATCACTAAACTTTCCTGGTTTTTCAATTTCAGTTACATATTCTCTTATTTCATTCAGCGTATCTTCATAGACTTTTCGCGATTTTCCAATATCTCCATGTGGTGGGAACTTGGTAATAGTGTTTAAACTTTCTTGTACACGGTCAGAAATATATTTGCACACTGTTTTATTATGCCGCGCGCGTTCTGCTATGTTTATAATGTCCTGAGCAATATCGGCTGCGATATTTCCGATAATTGGTATAGCACCACATGCTTTGACAACACCATATTTTATGACAGCTTCTGAAAAATCATAAACTGGGTTTTGATCCATTTAGTTCTATTTTTTGAATATAAAATGATACATACGTATGATTATATATATTTGCGATGTAAAACAATAATATCAATATGTTTAATGGCAAAAATTTGAGGCACAAATATATATCAGATATAGCCGCAATTTAATATAACGTAACACGATCAGAAAACACCAAAAATTATAATAAGAAATCGCCTTTTGTACCTTAACAAAAAGTTTTCCTTGAGCAGTTACTATATTGATATAGTTTTTATGGGGAGCGCCTATTTCCACCATGGAAATTTGCTTGTAATTGGCACGAAATAAAGCTAATATAAATATGTAAAGTAACATATACTAAACAATGACTAATGACGGAAATAGACGTTTCCTTTTTTTTTTTTTGTTCTATTTTTCAGGTAACTAACACGCTAGAGATAAGATAATTTAGGAGTTCTTGTTGTAAGACTCTGCCGTAGACATAGAATAGCTGCTTTTAAGTTTATATTATCATAATCTTGGCGTATTATTTCCATGCAAATTCTAGATCCTTCAGTTTATTGTGATTGATAATTTAAGAAATTTATTTTCAATATGTTACTAGTTTATGTATTATCATGCAGAAAGAACAAATATTTCTAAGCCAATAATTTAATATAATTTTAATGTGCTACTTGATTATCTACTTCACTTAATGTGTAATGTAACCTATATTTAAGTTAATTTTACTGTTTATATCTGTCTCTATAAGATTTTAGGTTTCTTGTACGTACCACACGTACAATACTAAACTTTCATGAATAGAAATAATAATAATACGCAGAATGTATTTTATACTGTATACACTTTATCATTGTAGGATACACAAATTGCTGCACGCATGTGATATAATTGTTGGATGTATTCCAGCATTGGATTTATTAAGGATTTACAGACATATATAGCATACTGGTGAAACCAATAAAAAAGGAACCTCATATCCATAAACTTATACGGTGTTACGATCGGGGAGAGCTTAATAGTCTCGAAAAGTCAACCGATCGAAAAGACGGTCAAACAGGGATGCGCTGGTCACTGACTCGTTAAATGGCGCAGACTAAGATACAAGCCGAAACCAGTATTCGGTTTTGACCGAATCCGGAAGACAATTGTACTCAAATTCAGATGAGTATAAATTTAATCAGTTGCCTGTTTTGAGAACTCGATGAATAATGCGCGTATGTATTAACAAGTAATCTCATCGGATATAAAATAACCGACACACAGAAGGTAACGACAACATCGCGCAATATGGAGCAAAATTTGCACCCAAACCCTCCATCCATGCAGAATCTCGAGTTCAGCTGAGACGGTGATACCCGGTACAATCATAGTTATTATTTCCGGGAGCATGCCTCGTCTCAGTCTGCACAGTACATCAATTGCCTTGATATATACTGCGCGTTCTCAATATAAATCACTTAATAAAGTTTAATCTGCCGCTAATGGCCAGCATCCAACCAATAAGATATCACGTGCGTACAATGCTTTTCGAAATATTGAAGAGGTAATAGATCGATTTTGCCGATCAACTTTATTCATAGTGCTGTAATGACATTATTATTAATGCACCCGACGTGAATTTTTCAAAAAGGCTGATTTTTTTACTTTAATTTCATGTAATAGCTTTTTTTTATATATATATAAATAAATAAGTAGAGAAATAAATGCTGTATTTCATTTTCCTTTTTTTTTTTTAGCGTTAGCGTTCATTCTAGACAATAAATATTGTTTATATAAAAATAAATATATTTATTTATTAATCGGTAAAATTATTCCCGATTACATACATCATTCATTACAAATAAAACACAAATATCTGGAATATATAGTTTGTCTCAAATCTGATTCTGGCGAGAACTTAAGAAGCTATAAGCTTAGTTGTTATTCAATTTTGAAATAACACACCATTTCCATTCATTTTAACATTTTGCTTTTCATTCGTATCTTCCTGAAATGTCTGGATAGACTCGATAACATCAATTACAAGGTCTGCAGTCAAGCCTTCATTTCTATCTCGTGCTAACATTTGTGCAGTACTAATAATTTTACGAATATCACGACCATTCAATTCATACTTAATTAAATCATCTATTTTGAGGGATAGGTTAGCGCGCTTGGTAAAATTTGTCCATACTTCACGTCTTCTATCCTGGTCGAGTTTGGGATAATGGAGAAACATGCTTATTCGCGAACAAATTGCGTCGTCAAAATTTGCAACACGATTCGTCGTCATAAAGAGGACTCCTGAAAAAGTAGAAATAAAGATAAACTTATTAAAATATTCATCTAAACATGAAAATAATGCGGAAAATGAAAAGCGGCAGTCTTTCGTACCTTGATAGTATTCTAGCAGACGTAAAAATATACCAACCATCATATTACGGTTTAAGTCGGTTGTGCTTCGTTTTTCGAGATAAATGTCTGCTTCGTCGAGTAAAAGGACAGACTTCCATTTGTAAGCAACATCTAGAACCTTGACTAATTGTTTTTCTAGGCTATATGCGTTATTTTGAAAATCAAATCATAAACAAATATTCTATGATTATTACACAAACATGCACAATTACTACGCACTCTTTAGGCTCTGTCCCAAGTTCGTGTACACTGAGCGTCCATAGTGGCCGTTCGAGAAATTCGGCTACGCACTCAGCCGTCAACGTTTTCCCAGTGCCAGGTGGTCCGTAACATAGAAATATGCAGCCATTGCCTTTCTCGCGTATAGGATCGAGTCCGTTTCTATCATTATTTTTACCGGTTACAACGTACTGCTTCACTAAACCTTTAATTATGTCTTTTTTATTCGGGGGCATCACCAGATAGTCTAAAGCATCCTTGCCAAATTGAATATCTGTAAACTTTGAAACCTCAAACTGTCCCCATTCTTTTAATGCAAAGCTAAACCCATATACTAATGCAGGCGCAAGAAGATAATTATCTTCCTGATGTAATTTGTCTTTGTTGAGATAAGCATCATTTTCGACAAGTAACTCAATGTCACATTTATTTGGAGGTAAAGCATTACCCATTTTATAGTCAGGATTCATGACCGCGAAACTTTCTAAATCAATCATGACACGACCATTGGCATTTATCTTTTCTACTTGCATGCAATTATTGACTTGTTTCCAACGCAATAACGGGCCTTCGTAATTTTTGAAGTGTCTTTCTGTAGCAAGCTCAAAGAACTTTTTTCCATTTTCAGCAACAATTTTTGTGATTTTGTCTTGAACTTTACAAAATTTTGATGGCATAACGGGCAAAGCAGAAAAGCTCATTTCTCCTTCAAAATATCCTATCCTACTGAGTATAGAGCATTGTTTAAATCCGACGCTGTCATAGTCAATCACCTTAATATTTATATAAAACACTCTTTGTTGCGTGTTGTAGTCAAACTCTTCTGATGTTGAGGTGACAATTCCACCGAGTTTCTGACCAGACATTTTACATGCACTATAAAAGAAGGTTCCAAACATAAGTCAGTAAATTTAATTATAAACAACGGTATGGAAAATCTTAGTGATTATAACCAATTTTCCCTATAAAGAACTTCATAATTTATGGTTCTAACGATAAAGAATCTCGAAATTTTAAACATATTATTCTGTAAGTTCAATATATTATGCATAGTAAATTTTGTATATCAAGCATTTGAAGTTTTTTTACTAATTAATCAAACAATTCTTTACAGTGAATAAATTATAATTAAAACACTTAATTCAGAAAGTTGAAATTATAAGAAATACTTACTACCATACAGGTAATTTTGGGGTATAAAATACCCATAACATGTCAAATGTAACTGCATTATTTTTTATCATTCTCGCCTTATTTTCGTCTGTTTGTTCATACTCTTGATCAAGGAATTTAACCAATTTATTCAAATATATCTTCTCAATCGTTGAGCTAGATACTTTTTCTAACTCTACAAATTAAACCACAAATTTAGCTTGTTTTTAATTTGTAAACATGAATATGAAATATAACTACATACTGAGGTGTAGTTTTTCCTTTATATAATACAAATCTTTAGCATTGACTTTGGGCTTCTTGTCACGAATGATCCTATTGCCAGGAATAATGCTTTGTAGAGTCGTAATCAACGGCTGAAAACCAAATTCGACAAATGTATTGCGTATACCGTCTCTATCAACAGAATAAATAACCTTAAAGGGAAAATTTTCTTCGCTGCATTCATTCTTTCTCTCTTGGACCATCTCCCATTTATTCCGGTCAAACCATTCTTCGAAGCATGGCCACTTCCAGTCTTCATTGGATATATCTTCAACTATTTCACCGTTTTGCATATTTCAAAATATTTAGAGAAAAGTCAGCTTTTACGACAAAATGCTCACGCAATGAAAATGCCTTTATATAATATTGCACAAATCTATTAACATAAAGCCAAACTAAAATCGCCAAAAAATTCATTGTGCATAATGTTACTGTCTTCTTTGACTTAATTGTAAATAATACTTGACAATATTTGGGGCATGGAATAACGACGATGTACAGAACGATGTACAAGTTACTGATATGAATATTTGGGTCCGTATCACTCGTAGAAGTTTATTTCACAGACGCCTTGTTTCACAATTCATAGACAAGTTTATTTTAAAAACAATTAATTTACAGACAGTTCTTTTAATAGACAGCTCATTTCATAGACATTTCATTTTGTAGACAATCTTTAACACTGATTCAGAAGTTATTTGCTATTAAAGATTGTCTACAAAATGAAATGTCTATGAAATAAACTGTCTATGAAATGAACTGTCTGTAAATTAATTGTCTTTAAAATAAACATGTCTATGAATTGATTGTCTGCGAAACAGGGTGTCTTGAAATAAACTTCTACGAGCGATACGGACCCGAATATTTCCGTTGTGGAAGTGCTCATGTACAATGTTCCTTAAAACAATTACTGCACATAAATAACAGTAATATAATTTTGATATCATGTATTACATACATTGCATAATTTTTGGTTTTTATTACAAAATAAATGTTGATATATGCTGACAGACATATTTTCTAAAATACATGTACTCATTCTTTGATTTATTTATATAAACTCTATGAAGATTATGGTTTTTAGATTCTATAAATATAAAACCATCACCTTTAAAAGGAAAATAGCTCTCTGGTTAAATAAGATCTGGTATTGGTATACCGGCTAAATAATGTATCAGAACCGATACTCATTTATGCAGGAAGTAAAGGCGTATGAGAGATAAAGTGCATCAGCGAAAAAGAGCAGAACAAATTACTACATATAGAAATTTTTTTTTTGTTTATACCATTATTACGCCAACGAAGCCTATCAGATTAAATGAAATTTAGAACTTCTTTAAAGTCAATAATTTTAACCTTAAATTATAACTCAAACCCTTCAAAGCTAAATAATATGCATCCAAAAAAACAATTTTTTTTTGTCATAACGTGTAAATTCTATTGAGATCGATAAATTAAGAAATATTTGTTTTTTTTGTACAACTTTATTATCTGCTTGGCGTAATATGTTTACATTTTTGATGTATCAAAAACGTAACTTTCGTAGCACCACGACTAAACATTAAATCCCCGTCACGCTTCGGACATTTACAGATTACGCCAAACAGATAATCAAGTAGCACATATTTCTTAATTTATCGACCTAAATAATGTTCAATGAAATATCAAAAAAAAAACAATGATTTGCATGCTTTATTGGTGTTAATTATTTAGGAAATATTTGATTTCAATGTTTATATGTCGTATCTAAAGTTACTATCTATCTGAAGTTGCAGCTTTAGATATACCGGGTTGGTGAAAAGTAACTGAACCGTGGCCTTTTTTTTAATCACAATGATTATCATTTTAACGTTTAGTAATCATTGCAATAAATTAAAAATTATTACAATTTTTAATTTATTGCAATGATTACTAAAACGTCAAAATGATAATCATAGTGATTAAAAAAAAGGCCACAGTTCAATTACTTTTCACCAACCCGGTATAAATATCTAATTTCAGGGGCTTAATTTTAGTCGGATGAACTTTATATATCTAAAGTTGCAATTTCAGATAGATGGTAACTTTAGATACGACATATATAAAGCATAATCGTTGTCTTTAGTTTCCTGCATGCAGTTCACTAAAAAAATTTAACAATTTTTTTTTCATAATTACGCTTTTAGCCGAATTTTCAAAAATAAATACGAAAAATTTTGTAATTATATTCAGATTAATTATTTCAATGCTGCCAGGATAACTGCAACTCTATAATAAATAATACCTCTAAAACGTATCAATATTAAAATCTCTAGAAACACTAAGTAAAAGAATTTAAAAATTGAGCTGGTATTACAGAATTAAAATAAATAATTGATTAATCGTTTGCAATAACAGCCAAAAAAAAAAAAAATCTTGACGGTTTAACCATAATTAACCCGTTAATCTGATAAAAAATATTTACACTCGTATCCCATCTATAATTTATCAGCTTTAAGAGCACAATTATTATGATAGTATGGCTTTACCAACTGCTTGGAATGTAGATGACAAATCTAAATTTTTGAATGTGGATTCAGATTGTCTTAGAATAACTTATACAGGTATTGTTTCATATATTTTAAATAGATTTATTTATTTGAGGTTCTATAAATACCAATAATATGTATCACAAATATATTAAAGATCATATAATATAACTTGTTAACTTACTATAATTCCTAAAAAACACCAAGGTCCTGGTAAAACAAATAAAGATTCTGCTGCAATACGTGCAAACCATCCCATTTCTCCAAAATGCGGATTGTTTTATTTCGAAATTAAAATTATAAATAAAGGAGAAAATGGGTAAGATGTAAATTTGCTATTCTTTTGCATTATATTTCTACATGCAGTATCTCGCAAGGAATAGAGACGTATAATCTGTGGGCTTCTCTAATCACTACTACATTACGCGCGAGATGTAAAATTTTCATGAAAATAGCTTCAAATTTTCTGTTACAAGATTTTGACAAAATTGTATTAGAGGAATTATATAACCTGAAAGGATTAAAATCCTGCGTGAGATAATATGCAGGGTCTCTCACGTGAAACCTACATGTTTCCCATCACTAATTATAGATAATCACGATTTACCCAACTTTTCCTTTTTTCTTTTGATTCTATCTTTAAAGAATTATTGGAATAGGATTTTGTGCAAAGCAAGTTAGTTTAAATCTGATGCCCGGTAAATGAAAAATCATGTCTATTGTATTCATTCAATATATTATTTTATCATTAATGTTATTTTCACAGGATGGGGTAAAAACTCGTGGGGTTATCATGGTGATGATGGGAACCTTTTTTGCGGTCATGGATGTGGTGAGTCGTATGGACCGCTGTTTTCTACCGGGGACATTATTGGGTGCTATTTGAATTTTAAGTGTGATATAGTATTCTATACCAAGAATGGGGTGCATCTAGGTAATTATTGCAATAATTATAAATTGTGATGATTAAAATTAGACGGATTGAGAATTGATATTTCATAATAAATTTTGAGGAAAATTCAATGTACCTACATCGAAATGTACATACTATCCTTGTATTGGAATGAGATCACAAGGCGGAATAATACAAGCAAATTTTGGACAAAATAAATTCGAATATACAGGTACCTTTAAATATACAGTATCATAAGCGTTTGATATTTTGGTATTGTAATTTGATGGTATAATCCTTTATGAACAGCGATAACTGGTGATGATATTGATAATGAATTATTAAAAGAGAAATGGATTGAAGCATTTAATATCGAGCAAATGAATCAACAAATTGATAGATTAGAATATTTGATGAAATCACTAGAAATCGAAAAAAAGTATGAACTTATTCTAAGATATCGAGGAAAAACTTATTTTATTATGGGTAGATATGAAGAAGCACTTGCAGATTTATCGAATTCATTAGAGATTGAACCAAATAACGCATTTGCAATAAGATACCGAGGAGAAACGTATCACATGATGAAAAAGTATCAAGAATCACTAGCAGATTTAGACAAATTATTACCAAATGATGCATGGGCATCAAAGGCCCATGAAGAAGTCACTAGGGAGTGAGTATCTGTATTCATTTTTGTTCCATAAAATTGATTGTTAAACGTCACTTTTGTAATCAACTCTATGCTAGGTTATCTGTTGAAATATTTAAAGCTGGTAATCGTGAAAAGGACGAATCTAAGGCATTCATTCATTTTCAAAAATCTGCCGATATGGGAAACAATGATGGAATGCTCCGAGTTGGTCTTTGTTACAGATATGGGATTGGAGTCGAAAAGGACGAATCTAAGGCGTTCATTTGGTTTCAAAAATCTGCTGAGATGGGAAACAGTTATGGAATGATTTTCTCTGGCCATTGCTATTATTATGGGACTGGGATTAAAGAGGATATGCATGAAGCATTTATCCAATATCAAAAATCGGCTGAAATTGGGAATGCTTATGGGTATTATTTAGTTGGGAATTGCTATGAGAAAGGGTTCGGTGTTCCGGAGGATGAACTTAATGCACTTACTAATTATGAAAAATCTGCGGCGGCGGGATTTGATGATTCAATAAAAAAGTTAAATGAGCTTAAGCATATCGGTTCGTAAGTATGAGTTTAAAATCGAAGCTTCGTAATAATCTCATCATTATCCTTATTGATCAACCACGAATAAATAAATTACTAGAGAGTGTGTATTTTTTTTAAAAAAATATTTCATTTATTAAACAAATTACTGGTTAATTAAGATTTAATTAAAAACATCAGATGGTGAGTATATCATTTTTAAAATCTAATTTTCATAAGAGTATCATTGTTCATTTTATTTTCATCACTACAGGAAGTGAGTATATTTTAAAGAAGTCTATGCGCTATATAGATTGTATGTATCACACAATTGCGTTTTATACAATACATATAATACGCCAAAATTTTTTAACAAAAATTGCACATTTATTTTAAAATTTGAAGGTTCAACAAAACTTCATTCTAAGAAAATGATTTAATTAAATTATAAGTCAGTAAGTATACGCTTTATATTCATTTCAATTGATTTTGTAAATTTTTATCATTAGATAATAATATTTCAATTATTATTAGCCGGTAATTATATCTTTAAAAATAATGTTATTATTTTCTTAAATGACATTTTTTTCATCAAAATAAATCGATTAAATTTCAGAGAGTGAGTATATTTATTAAACCACCTTATTGCTTAATATCACCTTTAATTAATTATTCTTGACAATTATTGTTTTAATTAAATTACAAGCGTGTACGTTATTATATTTAACAACGATTATCATTAGCAAATAATCTTTTTTCTAAACAAATCAGCTAATATAATTCAAATAACTTACAAGTTGGTGTGTATACATTTGAAATCAAATTAAAAATATATAATTTTTCTAATGATTAATTATTAATAATTTAATTACCAGGACGTAAATATATCAATTCAAAATTTAATCTTCAAATGTTTTCAAATTTAATTATTTACTAATTATGATATTCAACAGTTTGTAAGTATATTATATATAACAATGTCGCTATAAAGCACATTTTTCTTTTTCTTCATTAATATTATAAGTACCCATTCATATAATACTAAGACAATATCTTTATGCATTCATTACACGAGTACCCTGGGTGTTAAAATAAACATGTAATACCCCAGGTACTCGTGCTTGAAAATGCGGCATAGTTAATTAAAAACTTCGAATTAAATATACTCATATATTAGGTTTGAGAAATCTTTACTTAAGTATCTCAATATTTTTAGTCATTAGCCAAATTGCTAAATTAATATTATCACTCTTTTAAAATTTAAGTCATCTTCATCTATTAAATAATACACAATTTCTTGCTAATATTATTAGAGAGTGAGTATAAAATTTATGATTAGGATTTTGTAGTAATTTATTAAAAAAAAATTCATTTTATGTAATTTGATTAAACTTTTTAGTGAGTGAGTATATAATTTATAATTCAAAATTGAAGCTTATAATTAGAAGAAAATTTTTTTAAAACTGTGATTCAATTAATAGCCAGTGAGTATTATATCACTTTTAAAATTTTATGACAACTTTATCCTAAATTTTATTTTACTAATTCAATTAAAAATCAGTACGTAAGTATCATTCTTAAAATATTGAAATTTTATAATTAACCAATCATTAAATTAGTTTACAATCAAATTACTAGTTTGTAAGTATTATTTTTAAAGTATTGAAATTTTAGAATGGGTTTATTATTAATAATATTATTTCTTAATCAACTACTGGTCAATCACGACTTAATTAACAGTATGTAAGTATATGCCTCTTATTTTGATCTGATTAAATAACACTGATTCTTTAAATTAACTATTAATTTAATTATCAGAGAGTAAGTCTATATTCATTTTTAAAAATCAAAGCTTTGTGATACGGGCCGACCTTGGGCCGAACTCAAGCCGTCACGGGATGGGGACTATTAAGAAATTTTTATAAAATAAATATTATTTTTGTCGAATATCGTTTATGTGCATCTTTGAAACTCGTAATTATTCTTAAAACTTAACAAATCCGACTTTTGTATTGTTATAAGATACCGCGCGGGTAAAAGTCTAAAGACAGGACTTTTTTTATTAATTACTATGATGCATATAGTTTTATTATTTTATTTTATTCCTTATGAATTCAGTTTACTATTATATTTCGCATAGCGTCATAAATTGTCCGCAGGTGAGTGTCACTTTGAAGCTTTAAACAAAAACGAAGAAAACAAACTAAATTGGTCTGTCCCGGTCCAAGTAGAACCGTATTTATATAGTATTTACTGCCCGGTCTCAAACAATTCTTTTAGCAATTCTATTAGGCATTATGAGTGTTAATGATGATCACAAAGTCCGATCCTGGGGCCGGTCTTGTTCAGGCTTTGCCTCGGTCCAATGTTTGGTTATTCCGTATCATCATTTGTAATGCTATATATAATTTAACATATTTTAATTAATTATATATAAACAATGAAAAATAATTAGAGAGTAAGTATATGTTTATTTAAATTAAACATTAATATTTATAATTAAATATTCAATAATTGTAACCAAATGCATAAATTACTAGCTCGTGAGTACATAATTTATAATCATTCTTTAAATCAAGTTTATACAATAAACAGTAATACTTCAATTAAAATAATTCAATTTCTAGGAAGTAAGTATATAATTTGTCGGTTTTTAAATAAATGTCTTATATGCATATAATATATCATTTTCCTATTGATAATAATTTAATTAAATTACTAGACGGTGTGTATATAAATTCAAGAATGAAATAATTCTGTTATTAAACCTTTTTATATTATTATTAGGCAGTAAGTATAAATATTTTTAAAAATTATTATTTAATAATTCATTACATTATTATGTCATTTATGTCTGAGCCAATCAAAACTAAATTATTAGGCAGTAAATATTCTTAAAAATTTAATTTGTCGACAAATAAAGCTTTTTAATTGACTAATCATTTTATTAGGCAGTAAGTATATTATTTTTAAATCAATTCTATATTATATATGTTATTATTAACTAATTATTATTTGCTAATTATTAGTCTGTAAGTATGTGGGTTGGTAATTAAATTTTTTTTTCAATAATTATTAAACAATTATATTTTTTAAATTGACTAAATAAATAGAAAGTACGTCATTTTTAATAGTAAAGCATGCAAAATTTTCTTTTTTTATTGCTAATTAATCTTAATTCAATTAATTTATTAGAAAGTTAGTCTGAATTCTTACAATTACTCTTATAAAATCTATTTTTCTAATAACTTTGTCACTAAAAAAAAATTATAAATCAGTCTGTAAGTATATATAAAATTTATAACTAGTGATTCGTGAGCCACTTGAATAACGTCATAGTGTAATGTGTCGAAGAGTTGCTATAAATTTTTTGGCAAAAAGTAATTTTAAATCAATTACATTATGACATGTGTTTAGGTAGCAGACAAATCAATAATTAATTTCTAATACGCCATAAAACATAGTCGCAACAAATTTTGCTATTATAATATTGTCTAATGGCGAATTACATGATTTATTTACTAATTATAAATTAAACTTTAGTCGGTATATATACTATTCTTGAGTTTTATAGCAATTTATATGCAAATATCTTATTTTTCCTTATTAATTAAACTATTAGGAAGTAAGTATATGGCTTCATCATTTTTTTTAAATCATCAAATATTGTAGCACGTTATCTCTAATTATTAGTAATTTAATCATAATCAAATCAAATTCTCAGCTTGTAAGCGTTTACTTTTAAATCATTAATTATAAGAATATTGATTTACTAATTAAAATAAATCATTAGGGAGTAAGTTATAATTTAAATTTCAATATATTATACCCAAAAGCATACAAAATAATTTAATTATTTCAATTAAATTATTAGTCGGTAAAATAATTTTTTCCTTTCCACACCCATACGCCTTATTCTAGTAATACATTAATCGATTTCAAAATAATGCATGGGCGTTATTGTGGATATCCTACTTTTAAAGTTTTATTCTTATTTTTCAAAATAACACCTATTATCCTTCAGTCTACTATGATCTGCATCAATCAATAATTTAGTTATTTTTATTTACCGATCACAATAACATAAGAGCGTTATATACAGATCGTCGTAGACAGAAGGATAATACCGTTACTAGGCGTGTAAGTGAACAATAACTGCATTATTCGTCAAAGATATGTTAGATGCTATTCGGCCGCTATCGCGGCCAACTAGCATCTAACAAATCTTAGACGAATAATAACTGCAGTTATTGTTCACTACACGCCTAATAACTATATATTATTATTAAAGTAAATATTTGGAGTTCCATACCATTTTTCTAGGCAAGGATGCTCATTGCTAAAAAATTAATCATATAATTAAAATTTCTTTTGAAATTAAAAAAAAAAATTGAATTAAATATAATTTACCCGCATAGATGTTTAATATCTTCTCCATCTAATGCATGATGATGATTGTTGCAATTTGTCATTGGACAAGATATAGGACATGAATTACTTTCACAGCGATGTTTGTTGTCATCATGCTTTAAATCATATGGCAAAGTGCAATAATTTGGACATTTATATTTCATGCCCCTTGTATTTATGTTTAATGAACATTTTGCACCACAATGATGAATTGATTTGCAGTTATGTTCTTTTTCAGAATATCCACTTCATATGTGCAAAATTTGCTACAATTTCTTTTGTTAGATAAATAACAAGGTTCTCCACATTTATGTCTCTAAAAAAGATAATATTAATATATGTTTGTATTTTTAGTCCTGTTTATTGTAAAACAGTAAATGCGTCTTTGGTTGTTTTGCACCTATCATATGTTTATTATGTTTTTGGATTTTTTTAAGTTTTGAATTTATAATTTTCAACACAAAATTCTCATGTTAGTGTTATTTAGGGTTAGTATTAGGATTTATAAAGGGTTTTTAGGGGTGTTGAGCATTTTTACCTAGGACATCATTCACCGATTAATTAGCCAGTTTTTGAGATAACATATACATAGGTGTAAAACACCATAGGTGCGTTCTAGTAAAAATCTTGTAATAAAATATTGTAAATATAACTTACGATTTTATCACAAACATGTTTTCCATCATGTCCACCTCATGTTTGCATACTTCTTTGTGCATTTTTTGGTCAGGATGACTTTCATTAAATTGGCAATCAAAATGGCATTTGTGATCTGTAAGACAATCATGATCACTATTATGATCTCTTTGTTTTAGACAATATAGCTTACATATAGAACATTTGATGCCGCATAAATTCTAAAAAACTGTAAGTTTGCTAATTTCTTTTTCTAATAAATTGTTTCCCTGAACGATATGGGGTTATCTTGTGAAAATTTTGCAGTATTTTGATCAAACCATAATTTAACACTTTTAATACGCCTTTTGACTATATAATCTAAAAATATACGAAGATAATTGAACCATATTTCATCTTTTTCTGCAGTATTGCATTTCATAATATATTTTGAAAAAATTCAATTAAGTTTTGTGATATATCAACCAGGTCAGAATCGTTTTTATATAGTAAAAGTTGTGAATCCTTGGGAGGTGGTGAACTGTTTATTTTATTTTTAATATCCTCAGGCAAAACAAACTTTGAATTGAGATGTGAATTATCATCTTTAGAATTATCTATTAACTCTTCAATTTCAGCTATTACTGTTCCAGTTGAACGATCCTGATTAAAATAACAATAATAATATATAAATAAATAGTTATGATTTAGCAAAAGACACTAACTATTCATACCAGAAGTTCATTAACAGATAGTTTTGATTCTATATTTATAGTTTCAATACCCATATATATAGCAGAATTAAGAAATATTTTAAGAGTGGATACACACCTCTTAACAATAGCATCATCTATTGGATTCCAATCACACACCTAAAATAGAATATTTCGAGATTTGCATTAATATCTCAAAATAAAACTTTATACGATATAATTAATATAAAATGATACCGTTAATTTGGCTAGCATTAATTTAATATAGTCAATAAAAAAATGTGCATTGTCATATGTAAATTCTTGTCGCATAGTTTCCGAAGAACCCTTATACCTAATAAAAGGTATACAAGTAGATAACGAATTGAATAAGGAATTGAAAAGTGGAAGGGTGGAACGAAAATGTCAATCAAACG